GGACTAAATACATGTATGCCAAGCTTGTAGCGTCATACCCAAGAAGATTCAAGTGTGTAATCGCTGCCAAAGGTGCTTCAACGAAGTACTGAGTAAAGGGTCTGAATACTTATGTAAATTTGATATTTCATTTTTTTTTTTTTTACTGCTGTAGCTCACTCTTTGAGCTCTTTGTGGTGAAACCAACTCTCATATCTGACCTTTGGTCATAGCTCACTGCTCCAGCTTTAATTGTTGGACACTGAGCTAATGTCTGTGGTGCTATTAGCCTGTAATCCATAGAGTGTATCCAAAGAAGTCTCTCTCTGTGTCTCCCTGGTCTGTCCAAGCCAGCTCATCTATCCCTCTCTCTCTCTCTGTCACTGTTCTTTCAAAGCTAACTGGTCTCTCTGTGTGTGTATGTCTCTCTCTCTGTATGTCTCTTTCTCTCTCTCTCTCTGTTTCTGTCTCTGTCTTTCTATCTGTGTTTCTTTCTCTCTCTCTGTCTTGATGTCTCTCTCTCTGTCTCCCTGTTATCTCAAAGTGAATGTGTCTGTCACCTTCTCTGAGTATCTGTGGTCTATCAGATGTCTAACTCTCCGCACTCTGTGTGTGGGAGGAAGGAGCAGGTCATGCTAACTATTCTCTCTCTCTCTGTCCCCCTGGTATAGGAGTCTCTTGGGGAAGGCGGCTCCAGCGTCCACGGTTGTCCGGTGGAGGAGAGGAAGGAGAAGGTACCCAGCCCTCACCTCAGCCAGCTGGTTGTCCTGACAGCCAGCGAGACACTCTACGGCCTTGCCCAGAGGGTGGTCGCCACAGAGTCGCTGTAAGAGATGGTCTTTAGACCCCCTTTTGAAATCCTGTTTATACTTCTGTATGGTCCTTTAGAAGGTCTCTGAGTGTGGCGGCCACTGAGTCACTTTAGGGTCGTTCCAAATGAAACCAATCACAGAGCTCCAGAATGTATGAATGTATCAAATTGTATTGGTAGCATTGATGCAAGCTGGACATTCTACGCACTCATCTTACTCCAAACTTTAAATGTTTTCAAGCTACTAAAACCATGATTTGGTCGAACAATAATGTGCATTATCCTCATGATTCCTGTAATAAAAGTATCTGCCCTGCCCCTGTTCCTGTTTCGCTGGGGCCTGTTTCTGAGCGACCCACTCACTCCCTCTCCTCCGCGCTCCGGGAGGAAAAAAAACATTGTTATGATTGTAGGCTGTAACATTTCAAAATCCAATTGCAGGAAAAACACAACTTTGGAAGCAACTACTGTTATCACTGTTGAAGAGATTCTCAGCTTTTTATAGGTATTTCTCAACTCTTAATATTGAGCTTTATAGCAACTATTTTACAACTGAGATATTTGATATGGCTTTTAGATACGGAGCGTGTGAAATGCATGGCCACCAGCAGTGGGTATTATGGTAAGAGTTAGCGATCTAGCTAATGGGTTTTGAGTTCCCACTTACTCAGATGGTTAATTAGCCCCAAATAAATTAGACTATGATATTGGTGCACATAAAGATGTAGGCAAATTAATTTCCATTGAACAAAATACAATTCTGAAAATTCTGGAGCCCTATTTTAACAGTAAAATATAACAATAGCCTAATTGTCAACCCAAAATTAATGACAATCACTGGACTAGGTTGCACATCAAAATATCTTGTATCATGCATTCCTGCATGGACATATTAGATGAAACAACGTATTTCTTGAATACCATCTCAGTACTCTATTACACCTCTTACTAAAAACATTTGTGAATGACTTGATAAGATGACCCAAACAATATTCTACAGTACATGTAAAAACAAAAAAATACAAATGTTTCCTGATCTTTCTAATATCTCTAAGATATAGGACAGACACTTCAGAACAAACTTCCTTTAGATTTTTTTTTGTGACTATCTGGGGTTTTTTCTACTTCAAAGGGCCTTACAATTCCAAATCAAATAGCAAAATGATGCTTGGTATGACCTTAAAACAATTCTATATAGCTTAGTAAACCCCTCCACCCCCGGCTTAGACAGGGCTTACTCTTAAGGGGTTTTAAAGGAAGGAAGGAAGGGATGGTCCTTAGGGGAGAAGACATACAGCTGTCTAGCCCTGTGCATAATTGCACGGAAACCTTTTTTCCCTCAGAGCAGTTACTGGAGCGATTGAAGGGGCTTACACACCACCTAACTCCTCTGTCCTAGCACCCAGACATGCTCAGCATACAATACGCCATTCTTAGCCATTTTTAATATAGCCATTACTGGCTATGGGAGCCTCTTAAAGGGCTGCTCTGCCTGCAACGCCTCATTTAGCCCTGCCTTAATGGAATTATCAATGAGGGCCCGCCACCCCGGGGCCCTGAGCAAAGATCAAGATTATAGGTGCGAAAGATAAGTGCCTCTCGCCATTGTCTAAATGCCGTGTTTATATAAGCACAACCCAATAAATGTCAGGACTCCGCTTGTTATCTCTCCCCGTGGTAACCATGAGCTTTGTGGTCATGGTGGGCTGACATTTTTCGAGTCCATAAAAACAAACGTATTTGCATAAGGCTCATTTGTGGGAATGTTGTCATATTAAAGGGAGGCAGGCGCTAGGTGTGTGTATGTTTCGTGGCGTATTGGACAACACACTCGTGAATGTTCGATGGTTGAGTGTAATGCAGTCTGGAGCGGTAATGGTTTGGTGAGGTTCTAATTTTGTCCTAGCTACTCAATTATTTGGCCCACATAGATTTTAAATTTGTTTCAATGTGTTTCAGGCCCGCTTTCAATTATTTCTCAGTGGGCAGCTAGCTTCTACTGCAACAAGCAGTTATTAATAAAGAATGTGTCCTCACAATGTCGTTATGTAACGATCATCTTGAATTACACATTACAGACATTCACATGTTTAATTTATGTCTCTAGCCTCTGTAATGACATCTGAAGGCGTCGTGTTGCATCACCAAATGAAAATCCCTGAAAGTGCATCTGTTGTTCCACGGCTAAACGATTTCTATTAATTCTCTACTTCTCTTTTTCTCTCTCATACGTATCTCTTCCCAACTGAACTTTAGACTCCAGCCTACTAAGTAGCATTTCCACCTGCTGCCCTAGGATTTATCCCAAATGACACCCTATTCTCTACATAGTGCACTACATTTGACCAGAGCCCTATGTGTCAAAAGTAGTGCACTATATAGAAAATAGGGTGTCATTTGGGACGCATCCCTAGTCCATAGTGTACAATATTGTTTATTTAACAGTTACCCTACTGTTATAATGAGGTCCATTAATCCCCATGCCTTCACCTTGCCTTGCGTTGGCCTTGCCGCATGGCCAGTCATCAACACTTATCACCAGATTTGCACTCTCAGTTGACTCTCTGCCCATCATTAAACTGTGGTTATTGTATAAAACTCTAGGTGCAAGGGGAATAATATCAACCAATATGCTGATTCTGTGATAAATTCTTAGTTGAACTCCTCAATGGCTGGTTGACTATCCTGAACAAACATCCCAGTTAGCTGACCTTATTTTCTTGAATTTTGTTTATGTAAACAAAAAAAAACAAAAAAAAGGAAAATAATAGCATTGATCATGCTAACACATTTTGAAAAATGTCTGCAATCCCCCCGTGCCCCATTTTTACACTGGACTAGCTTTTGTTTTTGTTTCTATTGATTTTAATTTATAGTTTTTTTTTCTCACAACTATTCTGTGTGGCTCAGTGTTTGCTAATGTATAGCGGTAGTGATGAAAACCCAGAGAATGTAAAAACTCCCACTGTTTTAGGCTTTATCGCCTGATATGATGCTGATTTAAACCAACAAGAAGGTGCAGTATGACCTGGCCGAAACTACATTTCTAGCTACTGTACCTCCTACACCCTTCCACCTCCATCTGAAGTTAGGACTGAAATGACCTCGTTAATAAGCACAGGGGATCAAGATATGTTTCTAAAGCTCAGGAGAGAGAGGGGAAAATGGCAACCTATTCTGTCTGCAATATCACAATCCATCCAGCTAAAGCCCCTGCTCCCCTGTCCCCTCCTGCCCCTACCCCTCTCCGTACACGGCTTCAATTTCTGATTTGGTGGGCCTATCCACCTAGCTAAAAGCCTGTACTGATTTCACTCTCTGTCTCTCTTCCCAGGGTGTTTCTGGCTGAGCAGTTTGAGTTCCTTCAGTCTCACCTGGATACTATGATGCCTGCAGCCAAGAAGCCATTCCTCCAGCAGTTCTACTCACAGGTCAGTCACTCCACAACTCTATGGATATATCCAAAATGGCACCCTATTCCCTATAAAGTGCACAGGGGCGTTCCACAGTCCGAATGGCACAAGAGACATATGTGATCGTGTCTCAATGTAATCAAGGTATGAAATGATTGTTATTTTCAAATACAATTTCTTTTTGAGGTTAGTTGTGGTAAATTGTCAGTGTACAAATTATTATAATAATCCCCCCCGACCATTTGCGCCGACAAAAATCGGCCCGTGGCTGAATCTAGTCGCCAACCCCTGCTATAGGGATTAGGATACCAAATTACAAACGCAACCTATATGGACTTCTGCCCTTTCTGGAGGGCGTGTTTTCTTTTACCCTTTCTCTGAAAGTACCCCGGGTCATTCTGCAGAAGGACAAAATCTGTCGTGTTATTAGTTTGTGGTCGTGATCTCCTCTGACGCACATGACTTTATCAGTGAGGGTGGAAATGGCTGTTGGCCACAAACACTTTTTCACTTTTTTCACTCAGTAATATGTTCTGAGTGAGTATTGACTGACACTGTCCTTGTTTATGCGTGTGTTCCAAATGGCACCCTATTCCCTATATACTCCACTACTTCTGACCAGGGCCCTGGTCAAAAGTAGTGCGCTATAAAGGGAGTAGGGTGCCATTTAAGACACAGACACTGTCCTCGTTTATTCCATTCTCCTTGTCATTCGCTTATAGACTGTCTCCACGGCCAGTGAGCTACGTAAACCCATATACTGGGTCGTGGCGGCCAAGGCTTTAGACTACGAACAGATGCTGCTGCTGATGGCTGGAGTTAAGTGGGACATTAGGGAGATAATGTCGCAGCACAACGTGTACGTGGACGTCCTGTTAAAGGTAATGTGGCATGTGTGTGTTTTAGTATGTGTGAATGTAATGACTAAAATGTGGTGAAGGACATGTACACTACCAGTCAAAAGTTTGAACACACCTACACATTCAAGGGTTTTTCTTTATTTTCACAATTGTTTACATTGTAGAATAATAGTAAAGACATCAAAGCTATGAAATAACACATATGGAATCATGTAGTAACCAAAAAAGTGTTACACAAATCAAAATATGTTTTATATTTGAGATTCTTCAAATAGCCACCCTTTGCCTTGATGACAGCTGTTCAGAGGAGACTGTGAATCAGGCCTTCATGGTAGAATTGCTGCAAAGAAACAACTACTAAAGGAAACCAATAAGAAGAAGAGACCTGCTTGGGCCAAGAAACACGAGCAATGGACATTGGACCAGTGGAAATGTGTCATTTGGTCTGGAGTCTAAATTTGAGATTTTTGGTTCCAACCGCTGTGTCTTTGTGAGACGCGGCGTGGGTGAAAGAATGATCTCTGCATGTGTAGTTCCCACCGTAAAGCATGGAGGAGGAGGTGTTATGGTGTGGGGGTGATTTGCTGGTGACACTGTCTGTGATTTATTTAGAATTCAAGGCACACTTAACCAGCATGGCTACCACAGCATTCTGCAGTGATACGAGTTCCCATCTGGTTTGGGCTTAGTGGGCCTATCATTTGTTTTTAAACAGGACAATCACCCAACACACCTGTAAGGGCTATTTGACCAAGAAGGAGAGTGATGGAGTGCTGCATCAGATGACCTGGCCTCCACAATCCCCCGACCTCAACCCAATTGAGATGGTTTGGGATGAGTTGGACCGCAGAGTGAAGGAAAAGCAGCCAACAAGTGCTCAGCATATGTGGGAACTCCTTCGAGACTGTTGGAAAAGCATTCCAGGTGAAGCTGGTTGAGAGAAGGCCAAGAGTGTGCAAAGCTGTCATCAAGGCAAAGGGTGGCTATTTAAAAAATCTCCAATATAAAATATATAGTGGGGGAAAAAAAGTATTTAGTCAGCCACCAATTGTGCAAGTTCTCCCACTTAAAAAGATGAGAGAGGCCTGTAATTTTCATCATAGGTACACGTCAACTATGACAGACAAATTGAGATTTTTTTTCTCCAGAAAATCACATTGTAGGATTTTTTATGAATTTATTTGCAAATTATGTTGGAAAATAAGTATTTGGTCACCTACAAACAAGCAAGATTTCTGGCTCTCACAGACCTGTAACTTCTTCTTTAAGAGGCTCCTCTGTCCTCCACTCGTTACCTGTATTAATGGCACCTGTTTGAACTTGTTATCAGTATAAAAGACACCTGTCCACAACCTCAAACAGTCACACTCCAAACTCCACTATGGCCAAGACCAAAGAGCTGTCAAAGGACACCAGAAACAAAATTGTAGGCCTGCACCAGGCTGGGAAGACTGAATCTGCAATAGGTAAGCAGCTTGGTTTGAAGAAATCAACTGTGGGAGCAAGTATTAGGAAATGGAAGACATACAAGACCACTGATAATCTCCCTCGATCTGGGGCTCCACGCAAGATCTCACCCCGTGGGGTCAAAATGATCACAAGAACGGTGAGCAAAAATCCCAGAACCACACGGGGGGACCTAGTGAATAACCTGCAGAGAGCTGGGACCAAAGTAACAAAGCCTACCATCAGTAACACACTACGCCGCCAGGGACTCAAATCCTGCAGTGCCAGACGTGTCCCCCTGCTTAAGCCAGTACATGTCCAGGCCCGTCTGAAGTTTGCTAGAGTGCATTTGGATGATCCAGAAGAGGATTGGGAGAATGTCATATGGTCAGATGAAACCAAAATATAACTTTTTGGTAAAAACTCAACTCGTCGTGATTGGAGGACAAAGAATGCTGAGTTGCATCCAAAGAACACCATAACTACTGTGAAGCATGGGGGTGGAAACATCATGCTTTGGGGCTGTTTTTCTGCAAAGGGACCAGGACGACTGATCCGTGTAAAGGAAAGAATGAATGGGGCCATGTATCGTGAGATTTTGAGTGAAAACCTCCTTCCATCAGCAAGGGCATTGAAGATGAAACGTGGCTGGGTCTTTCAGCATGACAATGATCCCAAACACACCGCCCGGGCAACGAAGGAGTTACTTCGTAAGAAGCATTTCAAGGTCCTGGAGTGGCCTAGCCAGTCTCCAGATCTCAACCCCATAGAAAATCTTTGGAGGGAGTTGAAAGTCCGTGTTGCCCAGCGACAGCCCCAAATCATCACTGCTCTAGAGGAGATCTGCATGGAGGAATGGGCCAAAATACCAGCAACAGTGTGTGAAAACCTTGTGAAGACTTACAGAAAACGTTTGACATGTGTCATTGCCAACAAAGGGTATATAACAAAGTATTGAGAAACTTTTGTTATTGACCAAATGCTTATTTTCCACCATAATTTGCAAATAAATTCATTAAAAATCCTACAATGTGATTTTCTGGAAAAAAAATTCTCATTTTGTCTGTCATAGTTGACTGATGAAAATTACAGGCCTCTCTCATCTTTTTAAGTGGGAGAACTTGCACAATTGGTGGCTGACTAAATACTTTTTTCCCCCACTGTATTTTGATTTGTTTAACACTTTTTGGGTTACTACATGATTCCATATGTGTTATTTCATAGTTTTGATGTCTTCACTATTGTTCTACAATTTAGAAAATAGTACAAATAAAGAAAAACCCTGGAATGAGTAGGTGTGTCCAAACTTTTGACTGGTACTGTATGTGGTGTGAGTGTATTCCTGAAACTGATTACTTCTTTAAGGTCATGTCCGTTAGTCATGTCGTTGCTGTAATAATAAAGAGATGGATCATGGTTCATGGCTGATTTTCCTCTGTATATATTTTCTGTAAAAAACCCAAGGAGCTATAAACTCCACATATAGAACGCATGCTGGCCTCTGGAACATAGTGGCGGTGTCGCACTGTCATGTCCAATGAGTCTATGTAGAGACCTGACTTGGCTTGACCTGGAAAATAGGCCTGTCTCCATACCGAGATAGATCAATATAATAATTCCTGTAAAATGTATTTATTTATATATTTTAATATGATTGAATATATCGTGGAGTTGCAGACCCCTGACCATATCAGATCACACAAAATACTGTGTTGACATTACGTCTTAGCAAAGCATACTGTAACGACCCTAGCCTTTGTAAGTCCATTACCATTCTCCTAAGGGAAATAGCAGTCACTCTCCTGGGGCTGTAGGGTCGGGTGACCCGGGCTCTAACCCCCGCTAGGACGGTACTCTCTTCCACTGTTCGCTACTACAATAGCATTAAATGTTACATATCAACCCAACTAAAGAACTAAAGGCACTAGCATTTACCATATATATTCTACAGGATTATGCAAGGCATCCTTTAGGACAGGAGCCCTCACACTGTTGAAGATTGAATTTACATTGAGCTTCCCCTGTTCTCAAAGCGCTTTACATAGTCGACAGACAGTTCAATCACAGATGTAATCTCATCTACATTACATGGCCAAAAGTATATGGACACCTGCTCGTCGAACATCTAATTCCGAAATCAAATCAAATCAAATCAAAATGTATTTGCCACATGCGCCGAATACAACAGGTGTAGACATTACCGTGAAATGCTTACTTACAGCCCTTAACCAACAATGCATTTATTTCTTATTAAAAAAGTCAAATAAAACAACAACAACAAAAAAGTGTTGAGAAAAAAAGAGCAGAAGTAAAATAAAATAACAGTAGGGAGGCTATATACAGGGGGGTACCGGTGCAGAGTCAATGTCCGGGGGCACCGGCTAGTTGAGGTAGTTGAGGTAATATGTACATGTGGGTAGAGTTAAAGTGACTATGCATAAATAATTAACAGAGTAGCAGCAGCGTAAAAAGATAGGGTGGGGGTGCAAAGAGTCCGGGTAGCCATGATTAGCTGTTCAGGAGTCTTATGGCTTGAGGGTAGAAGCTGTTGAGAAGCCTTTTGGACCTAGACTTGGCGCTTCGGTACCGCTTGCCGTGCGGTAGCAGAGAGAACAGTCTATGACTAGAGTGGCTGGAGTCTTTGACAATTTTGAGGGCCTTCCTCTGACACCGCCTGGTATAGAGGTCCTGGATGGCAGGAAGCTTGGCCCCAGTGATGTACTGGGCCGTACGCACTACCCTCTGTAGTGCCTTGCGGTCGGAGGCCGAGCAGTTGCCATACCAGGCAGTGATGCAACCAGTCAGGATGCTCTCGATGGTGCATCTGTATAACTTTTTGAGGATCTGAGGACCCATGCCAAATCTTTTCAGTCTCCTGAGGGGGAATAGGCTTTGTCGTGCCCTCTTCACGACTGTCTTGGTGTGTTTGGACCATGATAGTTTGTTGGTAATGTGGACACCAAGGAACTTGAAGCTCTCAACCTGTTCAACTACAGCCCCGTCGATGAGAATGGGGGCGTGCTCAGTCCTCTTTTTTTTCCTGTAGTCCACAATCATCTCCTTTGTCTTGATCACGTTGAGGGAGAGGTCTCTGACCTCCTCCCTATAGGCTGTCTCATCGTTGTCTGTGACCTGCTTAAAAGTCTTACTCACATCGGCTACGGAGAGCGTGATCACATAGTCATCCGCAACAGCTGGTGCTCTCATGCATGCTTCAGTGTTACTTGCCTCGAAGCGAGCATAGAGGTGGTTTAGCTCGTCTGGTAGGCTTGTGTCACTGGGCAGCTCGCGGCTGTGCTTCCCTTTGTAGTCTGTAATAGTTTTCAAGCCCTGCCACATCCGACGAGCGTCAGAGCCAGTGTAGTACGATTCTTATATGCGTCCGGGTTGGAGTCCCACTCCTTGAAAGCGGCAGCTCTACCCTTTAGCTCAGTGCGGATGTTGCCTGTAATCCATGGCTTCTGGTTGGGGTATGTACGTATGGTCACTGTGGGGAAGACGTCATCGATGCACTTATTGATGAAGCCAGTGACTGATGTGATGTACTCCTCAATGCTATCTGAAGAATCCCGGAACATGTTCCAGTCTGTGCTAGCAAAACACTCCTGTAGCTTAGCATCTGCGTCATCTGACCACTTTTCTATTATCCGAGTCACTGGTGCTTCCTGCTTTAGTTTTTGCTTATAAGCAGGAGTCAGGAGGATAGAGTTATGGTCAGATTTGCCAAATGGAGGACGAGGGAGAGCTTTGTATGCGTCTCTGTGTGTGGAGTAAAGGTGGTCTAGAGTTCTTTTTCCCTCTGGTTGCACATTTAACATGCTGGTAGAAATTAGTTAGAACGGATTTAAGTTTCCCTGCATTAAAGTCCCCGGCCACTAGGAGCGCTGCCTCTGGATGAGCGTTTTCCTGTTTAGTTATGGCCAGCTCATTGAGTGCAATCTTAATGCCAGCATTGGTTTGTGGTGGTAAATAGACAGCTATGAAAAATATAGATGAAAACTCTCTCGGTAAATAGTGTGGTCTACAGCTTATCATAAGGTACTCTACCTCATGCGAGCAAAACCTAGAGACTTCCTTAGTATTTGATTTTGTGCACCAGCTGTTGTTTACAAATATACACAGACAGCCACCCCTTGTCTTACCGGAGTCAGCCGTACTATCCTGCCGATGTAGCGTATAGCCCGCTAGCTGTATGTTGTCCATGTCGTCGTTCAGGCACGACTCAGTGAAACATAAGATATTACAGTTTTTTATGTCCCGTTGGTAGGATAAGCGTAATCGTAGTTCATCTAATGATTGAAGATTGGCTAATAAGATTGATGGAAGAGGCAGTTTACTCGCTCGCCGTCGGATCCTTACGAGGCATCCCGACCTACGTCCACGATATCTCCGTCTCTTTCTCCTGCGAATGACGGGGATTTGGGCCTTGTCGGGTGTCTGTAGGATATCCTTTGCGGCAGCCTCGTTGAAGAAAAAATATTAGTCCAATACGAGGTGAGTAATTGCTGTCCTGATATCCAGAAGCTCTTTTTGGTTATAAGAGACGATGGCAGAAACATTATGTACAGAATAAATTAAAAATAACGCGAAAAAACACACATAATAGTACAATTGGTTAGAGGGCTGTAAAACGGCAGCCATCTTCTCCGGCATTAATATCCAGTTGGTCCCCCGTTTGCTGCCATAACAGCCTCAACTCTTCTGGGAAGGCTTTCCACTAGATGTTGGAACATTGCTGCAGGGACTTGCTTCCAGTACATCACTGGAGAGCATTAGTGAGGTCGGGCACTGATGTTGGGCTATTAGGCCTGGCTCGCAGTAGGCGTTCCAATTAATCCCAAAGGTGTTTGATGGGGTTGAGGTCAGGGCTCTGTGCGGGCCAGTCAAGTTCTTCCACACCGATCTTGACAAACCATTTCTGTATGGACCTCGCTTTGTGCTTAGGGGCATTGCCATGCTGAAACAAGAAAGGGCCTTCCCCAAACTGTTGCCACAAAGTTGGAATCGTCTAGAATGTCATTGTGTGCTGTAGCGTTAAGATTTCCCTACACTGGAACTAAGGGGCCTAGCCCGAACCATTTTAAAACAGCCCCAGACCATTATTCCTCCTCCACCAAACTTTAAAGCTGGCACTATGCATTCGGGCAGGTTGCGTTCTCCTGGCATCCGCCAAACCCAGATTCGTCCATCGGACTGCCAGATGGTGAAGCGTGATTCATCACTGTGGTCCTCTGTAGCTCAATTGGTAGAGCACGGCGCTTGTAACGCCAAGGTAGTGGGTTCGATCCCCGGGACCACCCATACACAAAAAAATGTATGCACGCATGACTGTAAGTCGCTTTGGATAAAAGCGTCTGCTAAATGGCATATTATATTATTATATTATAGAACATGTTTCCACTGCTCCAGAGTTCAATGGTGGCGAGCTTTACACCACTCCAGCCGACGCTTCGAATTGCACATGGTGATCTTAGGCTGCTCGGCCATGGAAACCCATTTCATGAAGCAGTTATTGTGCTGACGTTGCTTCCAGAGGCAGTTTGGAACTCGGTAGTGAGTGTTGCAGACGATTTTTACGTGCTTCGCGCTTCTGCACTCGGCGGTCCCGTTCTGTGAGCTTTGTGGCCTACCACTTCGCGGCTGAGTCGTTGTTGCTCTTAGACGTTTCCACTTCACAATAACAACATTTACAGTTGACAGGGGCAGCTCTAGCAGGGCAGAGATTTGATGAACTGACTTGTTGGAAAGGTGGCATCCTATGACAGTGCCACGTTGAATGTCACTGAGCTCTTCAGTCCGGGCTACTGCCATTTTTTGTCTATGGAGATTGCATGGCTGTGTGCTCGAATTTATACACCAGTCAGCAACGTTTGTGGCTGAAATAGCCAAATCCTCTCATTTGAAGGGGTGTCCACATACAGTGAGGGAAAAAAGTATTTGATCCCCTGCTGATTTTGTACGTTTGCCCACTGACAAAGAAATTATCAGTCTATAATTTTTAATGGTAGGTTTATTTGAACAGTGAGAGACAGAATAACAACAAAAAAATCCAGAAAAAAGCATGTCAAAAATGTTATAAATTGATTTGCATTTTAATGAGGGAAATAAGTATTTGACCCCCTCTCAATCAGAAAGATTTCTGGCTCCCAGGTGTCTTTTTTACAGGTAACGAGCTGTGATTAGGAGCACACTCTTAAAGGGAGTGCTCCTAATCTCAGTTTGTTACCTGTATAAAAGACACCTGTCCACAGAAGCAATCAATCAATCAGATTCCAAACTCTCCACCATGGCCAAGACCAAAGAGCTCTCCAAGGATGTCAGGGACAAGATTGTAGACCTACACAAGGCTGGAATGGGCTACAAGACCATCGCCAAGCAGCTTGGTGAGAAGGTGACAACAGTTGGTGTGATTATTCGCAAATGGAAGAAACACAAAATAACTGTCAATCTCCCTCGGCCTGGGGCTCCATGCAAGATCTCACCTCGTGGAGTTGCAATGATCATGAGAACGGTGAGGAATCAGCCCAGAACTACACGGGAGGATCTTGTCAATGATCTCAAGGCAGCTGGGACCATAGTCACCAAGAAAACAATTGGTAACACACTACGCCGTGAAGGACTGAAATCCTGCAGCGACGCAAGGTCCCCCTGCTCAATAAATCACATATACAGGGCCGTCTGAAGTTTGCCAATGAACATCTGAATGATTCAGAGGAGAACTGGGTGAAAGTGTTGTGGTCAGATGAGACCAAAATGGAGCTCTTTGGCATCAACTCAACTCGCCGTGTTTGGAGGAGGAGGAATGCTGCCTATGACCCCAAGAACACCATCCCCACCGTCAAACATGGAGGTGGAAACATTATGCTTTGGGTGTGTTTTTCTGCTAAGGGGACAGGACAACTTCACTGCATCAAAGGGACGATGGACGGGGCCATGTACCGTCAAATCTTGGGTGAGAACCTCCTTCCCTCAGCCAGGGCATTGAAAATGGGTTGTGATGGGTATTCCAGCATGACAATGACCCAAAACACACGGCCAAGGCAACAAAGGAGTGGCTCCAGAAGAAGCACATTAAGGTCCTGGAGTACTAAGTCATGTTTTGCAGAGGGGTCAAATACTTATTTCCCTCATTAAAATGGAAATCAATTCATAACATTTTTGACATGCGTTTTTCTGGATTTTTTTGTTGTTATTCTGTCTCTCACTGTTCAAATAAACCTACCATTAAAATTATAGACTGATCATGTCTTTGTCAGTGGGCAAACGTACAAAGTCAGCAGGGGATCAAATACTTTTTTTCCCTCACTGTGTATTTTAGTTAAGCTAGACCACATGACTATTTTGTAGCATCTTGAAAATGGATTGGTACTACTATTTCAATGTGTTTGTTTGTCTGCAGTACACGGGCAGGTTGCCCAGTTGGACAGCTGTGTGTCTATACCACAGTAGTTCAGGTTAAGTGCTGTTCTTATGAATCCCACAGTAGAGCACACTTACAGTATCTCATGGGAAACCAGCTAGTCACCACACATCCCCCTAACATGGCCATCTCTCTCCTATTCCCCCTATGAACATTCAAATGCACTGCAGGAAGAAAAATATCCCAAATACTTTTTGTAGTTGCAATGGCGAAACAATTTTTTTCTTCAGTGAGGCTCCCTGGATAGGAACTAAAGATGACACCTCTCATTTGATACTGTCTATTGGAAATGTATTTGAAATGCAGTGAGATCTTTCAAATATGGATTATTTTTTAAACCAAATTTTCAGGTGATTCCGGAAGCACAAGGTCATCGACTTTTCATCTCTTTCAACATGTCAAGATCTTTGTTTAAAGTTTCCTCTTCTTATTCTCCTAATCACTCCTAGAGGTCTTCCGATATCAATTATTTGCCAGTTAGGGTTTGAATAATTCATATAATGGAAGAAGTTTGGGGAGTTTAATGCAGATTCAGGAAGCGAAGTTTGAGGTTTGTTAAGGAAAGGTGAGTTTCTTAGGTCCCCTGCTGTAACTATCTCCAGGCTTAAAGTTCTCTTCCCAAATGAGTATCAAATCGTTATTCATTCCTTCCACTTATCCCATCATACATTTTGAATGGGGACGTGTGGCTCAGCGTGGCATGATGAGCATGAAGCCGGAGCATACGGAGAGAGAGGGCTCTAGTGTTGAGGAACAGATGGGGGTTTTGCAGTGGAAGCGTGACCGTGGTCCTTATTTGCGAGCCAGAAGCCAAGAGAATCCCCCAAATATGCATAAACATGTCTGTCTGATCAGCCATAGCTTTAAATCCTGAACCACGTCGAGCAAACCACCGCACATCCTCCAATTCTAATGAACAACTCAGGCTCACCTTTCTGGATCCATGGATCGGCAAGCTGGAAGACGGCTCTCTGTGAGCATTATTAAGCTGCTTTAAGCCAAACTCATTTTGTTTAAGCCAAATAGTCAGAGGAAAAGTGTCTGCCTCACTGGCTTGATTTAAACATATTGCCATGTCTTTCAACAAGTTATTAGGTAGAAAAGTATTACTATTTCTATTTCACTGAGAGTAACTGTCAGGTTGAAATGTATGCTGCTCATCCAATCTTTTTCTGAGTATGGTAGAGGTGTGCAGGTCAGCTGTTTGTTCGCCCGCCCGCAATTGCTAATAACCCATCCACAACCGCCCGACTATATGTGATAAAGTGAAAATCTGAGGCCTGCACCCAACCCTCACCCGCTAATATAGAAAATGTGCTGTAGGCTACAGTCACAGACGGCGGAACAATTTTTGGACAGGGGGTGCAGAATTGATTTTGCCTGATTTAAATGTTTCTGCTTATAATTTCCGACATTTTGGTAGGCTATTTGTTAGTCAACTTGTCTATAATTAGATACATGCAGCTTCTCTTCTGTCATTATGTGTTGCCCCAGAAGACTAAGTAAACCCTTGCTCACCAGAATAATGTCCGAAAGACATCAGTTTGACCGGTTGTAAGGAAATAGAAAGCTGTGAAAACGACCCAACATGTTTCTGATATGATTTCAGTTTGGCTTGGATGCATATTTTATATGGTTGAAGTGCTATCAGCTTTTATGATGCTGATAAAGATAGCACCTCTACAGACGGTCCCTAACTGCACATTCACATTCTCTCAAGATCTGAAATAAATAAATAATGTTACTGCAAGAAATGCAGGAGTTAATATTAAGGCTATGTGAGAGGTTATAGACCTACAGTCTGTGTCCAGATTTCAGTTTCCATTTAACCCATCTGAACAGTAGGCTACAGTTCCCTTGATGTGCCATAGGCCTATTTGAAGTCCTGTCTTGTGACTGTAAATTGTGTACAGAGCCTCACAATCATCACACGACATTCACTGCTATCATCCTGTTTTACCACTTCGCCAAATCTTTCCCAAACGTGACTTTTCTGTCCCTCCCTTCTCTTTATTTACAACTCTCCTTTCACAGCTTTTCTTTTGTCTTTTTGAATTAAACTCTGACCTTTCTTCCTCCGTGGATCGATGTAATCTTTTTCTGCCCGTTCCTAAAAGCATTTGGCGGTTGGCGTGTAGGTTATTCGGTGCACGTACAGTTGGGCCTTAAAGTTTAGGCTTACGCACTTATGCCAGATAGCCTAAAATAATGAAAGAACAACCTCAATGTAGCCTATAGATATAAATTGCACAATAATTATACATTTATGGATTTTTTTAAGGTATTGTTTTCTCTATATTCAACCCGCCCTTCATCCACACGCCCTTTATTCACACAACATTTAATGACCCTAAACCCGCCCACCCTGTGGATATAAGCACAGGGACTGCGGGTTATGAGTCAACCCATGCATCACTATAGTATGGTTTATGATTAACAAGTTATTGATACAGGGTTGTATTGTATAGGAGATGATGTACCGTGTAGGAGAATGTTGTATTCATGAGTTTGTGTTGAATATTAGGATCCAATAATGGCATATATTTGCATTTAGATTGGAAATTGTTGTAGGGGCACTGACATTGTCTCATTTACAAACCAGGCTATTCAAAATGTGAGCGTTTGATGGCACATAATTGTTGTTTGAAAAGACATTCAATTCAGTCCTTGTTTACTTTCAGGAAACCTATTTTTACATTTGTGACTGTATGATGAAATTCTGATGCATATGATTTCTCCTGGTGAATTATGCCAGTTAGATGCAATACCTTATCATGTACAACCTCTTTAGTGAAAAATGTGTTACCTTAATTTCCCTTTACGGTGTTGTGCAGTTTGCCAGCATGAACCACTACACCGTTCACCATAATTACCTCCATTCATTTCTAATTGAAAAAAAACATTTTGAAGGATCGCTGGCCGTTTTCTGACTCCCCGTCTGTACTATTGGGGCTTTTGCATCAACAACAAACAAGGTGTAAGAACACGGTGGTACATGTAGCTTCCGTCTAAAAAGCAACATATATTTTTTGGGGTGAAATGAAATAAAAGAGAAAAAGTCCTGACCAGCTGAATCAACACGTCCATGACTGATGTGTCTCTGCTACTCATGTTGGAATGTAGCGCAGCCAGCAGCTGTCTTGTATGTCAAGGGGGAGTATGTGAGGGATGAAAGGTTGCATGGATGTCTGCTCAGCTGTGTTAACGAGAGCGCATGTCAAATCAAATCAAATCGAATTGTATGGCCACATGCGCCGAATACAACAGGTGCAGACATTACAGTGAAATGCTTACTTACAGCCCTTAACCAACAGTGCATTTATTTTTAATAAAAAAGTAGAATAAAACAAAAAAAGTGTTGAGAAAAAAAGAGCAGAAGTAAAATAAAATAACAGTAGGGAGGCTATATATACAGGGAGGTACCGGTGCAGAGTCAATGTGCGGGGGCACCGGCTAGTTGAGGTAGTTGAAGTAATATGTACATGTGGGTAGAGTTAAAGTGACTATGCATAAATAATTAAGAGTAGCAGCAGCGTAAAAAGATGGGGTGGGGGGGGGCACTCCGGTACCGCTTGCCGTGCGGTAGCAGAGAGAACAGTCTATGACTAGGGTGGCTGGAGTCTTTGACAATTTTGAGGGCCTTCCTCTGACACCGCCTGGTATAGAGGTCCTGGATGGCAGGAAGCTTGGCCCCAGTGATGTACTGGGCCGTACGCATTATCCTCTGTAATGCCTTACGGTCAGAGGCCAAGCAGTTGCCATACCAGGCGGTGACGCAACCATTCAGGATGCTCTCGATGGTGCAGCTGTAGAATCTTTTGAAGATCTGAGGACCCATGCCAAATCTTTTCAGTCTCCTGAGGGGGAATAGGCTTTGTCGTGCCCTCTTCACGACTGTCTTGGTGTGTTTGGACCATGATAGTTCGTTGGTGATGTGGACACCAAGGAACTTGAAGCTCTCAACCTGTTTCACTACAGCCCCGTCGATGAGAATGTCGACTAACGTTATTCACCAGCTCAGCTGTAGAACTGGCCGATAGCTCATCAACACACAAAATACAAAGTACAATCAACAATACTAATGAAAGTATCTCTGCTTTAAAATATAGCTACCTAGACTTCAGTAGACATGACACTTTGGGCATAATGAGAAGTCGTGAAACCCCCAATGATGTCTTTGTAATATATTTATCAGTGGACCAAAAATGTTAATAAAAAAAACGAACTGAATGTTATGGTTTTTCTATTCCTCAGGAGTTTGAGGAGTTAAGCAAGAGGCTGGGTGATGTGTCCAGACACGTCCAGATCCCTCTGCCTGTGTCTAACGTCCTGTGGGAACACTGCATCCGTCTGGCCAACAGGACTCTGGTGGAAGGGTAAGTTGTTTACTTGAATGTACAAAATACAGTGACTGAATTCTACATTAAAACAGGAATCACCAGAGAGGCCAGAAGGCTTCAGACGATGGAGGACCAGCTCCTACATCCTTACTTTGACTTATAAAATACTTTCATTGATTTCTAGATAAAAACACTTTTTCAGCAGATATACTGCAGCCTTCATCAAGGGGCTGAGTGGGGGCTGATGCGTCATGTTATTCCAATTAATAAAAACTTTCCAAAATAGTAAATATGTCTCTCTGTACCCACCTGCAGTTTATGTGATAGTATATTTCAAAGATAAGAATCAGGTACTTTATTTTATTTTTTATAAATGCTTTTTATGTGAGCAGCATAAAGCTGCTGACTAGTTGTAATGCCAGCAAATATCTGATGATAAGCACAGCAGGAAAAAGTATATCTGTGAACACAAACCTACTGCTCATTCAATTATAGTTTATAGCGATAGTTCATCACTCAGGGATATGCTAATATGTACCTGTGGAATACAGGGATTTACTGCCAGTGGATTTGAGAGGTGTGGACATTTTAGCTGCCTCGTTCATCTCTTATTTTGACGTCTTTCGTCTTTTTGGTCGAGGGGCCCGTTCCTTGCTCCCGGGGTACACTCGTAAATATCAGCTGGTACGCATGTCATAGGCTGAATACCTCAAGTGAGTTATTGAATAAGGCCGGATTGGAGCCCCTGTCGTCTCCCGCAGTAAGGTACGACCACAAGCTGCTTCGAGCCAGAACATCGATCAAGAAAAGTTATTTACTTTCCCCCACTCTTTTTTTTCTTCTCAAGGTTTAAACATCCTCTTGATGGAACATCTGCTTGTCATAAATACAAAATAAAAAAAATTAGAGTACCGCAAAGGAACGTGCTGATTGCCTAGAAAAGCACTCAAGACATGAGTGTTCCCAGCTTTTCTCCAGCTTTCTCTCAGACATTCTCCTGAGACAACTCCTCTTCAGTCCTCTCTGTGCCTCCTTCTCCCCAACCACAACATCATCCCAGGACTGTTATACGTTCTGTTAAAGAGACCCCACAGGGAACATGTCTGACACAAGGCTGGCCTGAGTCTCCTCTAAACACTTGGCACATCCGAAATGGCTCCCATAACCACCTGCTCCACCCCCATCTCCCTCGCTAGTCAGTCAAAGGTTTGGGGCCTGAAAGGGACTAATGCATTTCCCCTCAAATCAGCACTTTTACCCTTTCTTTCTTTCTCTGCACAATGCATTATTCATAGTGGTGTGTGTGCGTGTGCGTGTGTGTGTGTGCGTGCGTGCGCATGGGTGTGCGCGTGTGAAAGCATGTGTGAAATAGAAGTACTGGCTGGCAGAGTTTGATACGGCCAGGTGAGATCCCCTTTAGACCAGAGAGACATGGCATTAAAGGGGGGGGGTTGGGAAAAGATGCCCAAAGGTGTACAACTAACATGTAATAAACTGAACAGGGTCCTCTTCATTCTCTCCTTCACACATCATCATGGACATGATCTGTGTATCAGTATTAGACCTATGGAGCTCCTTCACAAGAGTCTGCCTCTCTCAGCTCTCAGTCTTTCCCTCTCAGCTGCCCATCCCAGACTGAGATTAGTCTAGTCTCTGGTATTCCCTTCCCTCTGTATCCCCAAGTTCCTGGTCTGACTGAGGCTGCGTCCCAAATGACTATATAGTAATTCCCTATATAGTGCACTATAAAGGGAATATGGTGCAATTTGGGACGCAGCCTGAGTGTCACGGTACTGTGCCTCCTATCACCTCCTTCCTTCCACTATGATAGAGTGGCCAGGCGTTGTCTGTTTGTCTTGCTCGCTGACTTGTTTGCTGTGTTTGTTACAGTATCTTCGTCTCCTACTCCCAACTGGACTCCTCAGAGAGGAGATAGAGCCTCTTGACAGTCTGACTCACCACTCACTGTCTCACCCCGGGGACTCTGACAACCTCAGAGAGAGAAGGATGAAGGAAGGGAGGGAGGTATAGATGTAGGGAGGTGAGGAGGAGATAAAGAGGGGGAGAGATAAAGAGTGAGAGGAGAGAAAGGTAGACTGGCAGGATCTATCTTCACCTGAAAGCAATAACAGCTCTGTCAGGACCAGAACAAATATGGATGTCAGCAGCCACTGATCTGGTGGACGTGGTTCCACAACGATACACACACACACACACACAGACACACACACACACACACACACACACACACACACACACAACGGAACAGTCAGATGTGACGGGCACTCCAACTGAGGACCCTCAAATCTAGACCCCCACACGCTGTGAAGAGAGTTTGTGAAGTTATCAAGTGAACAATGAATATAAAATGTTTACTTGTTGGCTTTTTTTTTTTTTTTACAAAACAAACCCTTCAACTGTCTGAGACAAAAGATGCCATGAAGAAAACTGTCTGAGCAGAATTAAGAGTTATTAGATTTATTAACTCTGTCGATTTCATATTTTCTCCTTTGACATTTTTGTTTTTAATTCTTGTGCCTTGGGCATCAAGGATACAAATGTCATGTTTTTAGAACGGCGCTAATAAACAACTCTGGATTCTGAAACTTCTGTCAACAAAAAGTCAACTTCTGTATCTTATTCTGAACTACTGTCTGGCAGAAATAAAAAGTCAACAAAAAGTCAACTTGTGTTGTCCTGTTCCGTCCTGTAGCTATGGTAACGTAAAGAAGTGCAGTAACGAGGGTCGGGCCCTGATGCAGCTGGACTTCCAGCAGTTCCTGATGAAGCTGGAGAAGCTGACAGACATGAGGCCCATCCCTGACAAGGACTTTGTGGAGACCTACATCAAGGCCTACTACCTGACAGAGAATGACATGGAGCAGTTTATCAAGAACCACAGGGTGAGGAACACTCAAGGCAGCTTTGGAGTTATCATAATAATTATTCACTCAGTCTGCTCAATGTGCTTCCATTAATTCTACAATGTGTAGCACAAACCTGGGTTTGTGCATTGAAAACTGCAATAGTTAAACACAGTTACAATAGCCAGCTGTGACGTAAGACTAAAGACTATCTGAGACTGAAGACTATCTGAGACTGAAGACTATCTGAGACTGAAGACTATCTGAGACTGAAGACTATCTGAGACTGAAGACTATCTGAGACTAAATACTATCTTAGACTGAAGACTATCTTAGACTAAAGACTATCTGGGACTGAAGACTATCTGAGACTAAAGACTATCTGAGACTGAAGGCTGTCTGTCCATAATATGTGTGCGTCTGTCTGTCCCACAAGGAGTACTCCATGAAGCAGCTGACCAACCTGGTGAACGTGTGTCTGGGCTCTCACATCAACAAGAAGGCCCGGCAGAAACTCCTGGCAGCCATCGACGACATCGACAGACCAAAGAGATAGAGACAGACAGACAGACATGGATATTGTATTTAAGGTGGTTTCTAACCATGAGACTCAATTTTAGAATGCCCTAGGGTTGCAAAATACCATAAACTTTCCCAAAATTCCCCAGAAATCCTGTTTGGACGATTCCTGATATTTCCTTATTACTCCTGATTCCAGGAATATTCCAACTGGAATTTCTGGACAACCTGGGAATTGTAAGAAAGTTACTGCAATTTTGCAACCCTAGAATCCTCATAAACCCACCAGGAACAGAAAATAAGCAATGAAACTTCTGCTAACAAATACACTCATACAAGCGTGTTTCAGTTATCTGACAGTTACTCAGTACATATAGGCTACTATTCTACATGCCACTCATGGATATCTGATATCCACAAACATGCTGCTTACAGTTTTGCTGCGTTTTGTATGTTACCACGGAGATGCTCTGTTCTCCTGTTCATCGTGAATATACATGTTTATGAGGAAGGACTCTGGTTTTTAAGATAAACTACTTGAAATGCTGAATGATGCTCCATGACATGTGAATCGACTGGCAGACGGTTTTTATTTTTCTCCTCCTGTTTGTCTATAGCATAATGTGTTTCTGTAAACAGCTCAGGAGCAACGCCGGCCCTGGGGAGAAACTGAATTGTTTAACATTTTCTTTTTTACTTGTATGACTATTATGTGACAGATATTGCTGAGTTGAGAAAACGGCCCATTTTCCATTGAAATCCAGATAGTGTATTTCTCCTGGTATCACATGCATGCACAAACGCAGTTTGTGAAAAAGCATGGGATGTTAATTGAAGTACTTTCCTTTAGGGTTACGCCTATGGAGACATCTAGTCTAGTGCCCTTTAAGAGTCCATTAATGATGATGACAGCATAGTTTTTTCTGTTGTTCCAGTTGTCCCCCCAGACACTGAGCTTGGGTCAGTTTTGCATTTCCCCCACTAATGTTTAAGGTTAGGATTGAGGGAGGGGAAGCTGATCCTAGATCTGTACCTAAGGGAATCTTCACCCCGGAGCTTGTTCCAGTCCAGGACTATTACTGTACCTGGGCTGTTTTTGTTACGTCCATAAATGATTTATCCTGATACACTGAGTAAAAATTATATGTTGTCATCTTGTCACTAATAAAATGCTTTGTTGTACACTGAGTGCACAAAACATTATGAACAACTGCTCTTTCCATGACCTAGACTGACCAGGTGAATCCATGTGAAAGCAATGATCCCTTATTGATTCCACTTGTTAAATACACTTCAAGCAGTGTAGATGAAGGGTAGTAGACAGGTTAAAGAAGGATTTTTAAGCCTTGAGACAATTCAGACATGGATTGTGTATGTGTGCCATTCAGAGGGTGAATGGGCAAGACAAAATATTTAAGTGCCTTTGAACGGGGAATGGTAGTAGGTGCTAGGCGCACTGGTTTGTGTCAAGAACTGCAACTTTGCTGGGTTTTCACGCTCAACAGTTTCCTGTGTGTATCAACAATGGTCCACCACCCAAAGGACTTCCAGACAACTTTACACAACTGTAGGAAGCATTGGAGTCAACATGGGCCAGCATCCCTGTGGAACGCTTTCGACACCTTGTAGAGTCCATGCCCCGACGAATTGAGGCTTTTCTGGGGGCCAAAGGGGGGCTGCAACTCAATATTAGGAAGGCGTCTTTAATGTTTTGTACACTGTGAATAATGTTGATTTTGAAAATATTTAATGGTTATCGATGATATACTAGGTCTAACGTGCATCCGCTGCACTTGTTTATTTTCCAGTCATATCATAAGAGATTATTTTATTGTCCAAACAAACAACCTCCATCATTGTCCTTGTGATAAAATGAGGAAAAATAACCGCTTTTGATACCGAAACAACACAACTGATTCCATTGTTTTATTGCATAATGATTCCAAGATGATGCTGTAAATGTAAATGTGTAAAACATCATTTTTATTTTTGTTGTGTCAGTTTGGATTCAGGACTTTTTATATACGTTAAGTACTGGAAGTGTGCTATCATCTGTTTACTGGCAGTACCTTGTATCTTGTTGTCAACTGTAAAATAATATAAAAAACAATTAAACTACATATTATGATAAAGTGCACTATTGTACAAAAAAAAAAGATCTATATTAAATCTTGGCGCTGTAGCCTAAATCAAGGTGATTATACATGAACACAATAAACAAACTAACGTTTAAACCCAGCCTTGCCAATGTTGTCTGACTTCTTATTCTGCAGACAGACAGACAGACAGATATATAGATAGATACTTTATTAAAACTCAAGGGGAAATGTAATCTCAACCCTTATTCCTTTACCTCGATCAAGAATACCTCCCATCACCCATCTGTCATATGGCTATCAACTAATACAATTATATTTTCTAAAACTAGAATATTTCATTCCAACCACACTCCTCAGCACCAACTGCAGTGCTTTGCTGGCAGTTTATAATAGTTTTTATTTTCAATCACAATCCTTCTTTTCCCTCTGATTCCTGTTTCAGGTGGAATAGGGGCAATGTAAGTGGAAGTAATGAATTAGCCTGCAGCAGGGACAGCTAATATCTGGCTGGCTGGTGGTCTGACTAACCTTGCTCCACTACACACACAGCCCCTGGTCTGGTCCAATCCTTCACAGTGTGGGTGTTAGAGATGGACTAAAACTGCCCCTGGTCTAGTCCTTCACAGTGTGGGTTTTAGAACTGGACTAAAACTGCCCCTGGGGTCCTATCACTACGCTAGGAAATGAGAGAGAGAGAGAGAGGGGGGGAATCTCAAGCAGCAAGGGGAATCCTTGATAAAATTGAAAAGAGTAGGGTAGAGGGACATGAAGGTGAAATTCTGTGAGATGTCTTATCTAAAACCCTTTCAATGACACTTTCTGTGTGTATGTGGTCTCTTGAACTCTCCTTAGACGGTAAAATATGGTGTCTAGGTCAATATTAGCCTGACAATACATTAATCTCTTTAACAGTGTGTCTATGATACTTTACTGGGCTGTACAGGGAGACATCTTAGCTTAATGAAGGAGTCTCCTCCTGCTGTCCGAGGCCCTTAACCCCCTGTTAAAGATGTACTGTGTAAGGTTGGAGCGGAGGCGGCGGTACGGAGGAGTATCGATTTGGGAGGAGTCGTAAGTGGTGGGTGACTTTTCAATGACTTAGGGGAATGCGTGCGCATGTGCTCTTGCACATCGCTGTGTGCGTCTATACTTCAGGTGTTTGTGTGTCTGTGTGTGTGTGTGTGTGCGTGTGTGTGTACCTCAGTGTGTGCGACAGGGCACATTTAGTTGCCTGTGTCATTGCAGTGTCCACTGGCATTAAAACCTGCTTTAGTGTCTAAGACAGGACATGCGGACTCATAGATAGGCTACTGTGTACTGCTGTGCCTCAGGAAAACGTTCTATTGTGTTGTGTAAACACTCTCTCCTCTTTCTCTCTCTCCTCTTTCTCTCTCTCATGCACACACACACACACACCACTTACAACCTGTACAAACACAGATACCAAGAGATGTTCCTGGACACCCAAGCATGATGTAGAACACCTCAGAAACACAAATAGCCAGGCGCAGCCTACATCCACAAACACTCAGTCAGAGACAGAAATACTGTTTCAGCTCCATCAACATGGTCATTCTGGTCCATTAGATGACTGTCATGGTCGCTGTCCCAAATGGCACCCTATTCACTTGATAGTGTACAACTTTTGACAAGGGCCAATAGGGCACTATATAGGGAATATGGTGCCATTTGGGATGCATTCATGGTCAGCCTCCTGGTATTTCCTCTCATGTCCCCCTTCACACCCAGGAGGTTGTTTCTCTAAGGAGGGTGAAAACACCCAGGAGGCTGGATCTCTAAGGAGGGTGAAAACACCCAGGAAGCTGGTGCTCTGATGAGGGTGAAAACACCCAGGAGGTTGGATCTCTAAGGAGGGTGAAAACACCCAGGAAGCTGGTGCTCTGATGAGGGTGAAAACACCCAGGAGGCTGGTGCATTGATGAGTGTGAAAACACCCAGGAGGCTGGTGCTCTGATGAGGGTGAAAACACCCAGGAGGCTGGGGCTCTGATGAGGGTGAAAACACACAGTGGTTTTCTCTACTGGGGTGTACTGGCTCAAAGAGCTGCAACAGCAATTAAACTTTTGGCGAAATTCCACGGAAGCTTGGGGGCTCCTTGCCTTTGTAGACCTAACTCCCCAGCCGTCTATTCAATGCTGGCACTGCATGTGTTCTCCCCCTAACACAAGGTCAGAGGAAACCTGTACTTAAGTCATTTGTAGCATGATAACAGTGTCTGCCATCGGTGACCTGTCAGGCCCCTGTCTGTCTGGATGTGTGGTTCTCTTCTGACCACAGGAAGGGCTATGACTGGAAATGGTGATGCAACAGAGAAGGAGCTCCCCTGGTCAATCAGAAATTATATAATGGCTCAGTGGTCATAGATCATAGGTAATCCCTCAAATTATAGGTGAATCCCTCAAATGACCTGGGGATAATGGATACTCTTAGCTCCTAGTTCTCTAGCTTGTATAACAGGCCAGACAGAGAGTGGAGAGGGGAGAGAGCTGTATATCCTAAGGTGAACCCGGCCAGCTCAATGACACCATCACATCCCGTCAGTCACTCACAGTCAGGAGAGGAGTTAGTCAACTTGTCACGCGTCTGAAAGACAGGGTGGAGACTAAGTGTTGAGGGGGCTTTCAGAGGGAGTCTGACAGACAGACAGGGTGGAGACTAAGGGTTGAGGGGATCTTCAAAGGGAGTCTTACAGACAGACAGACAGACAGACAGACAGACAGACAGACAGACAGACAGACAGACAGGGTGGAGACTAAGGGTTGCGGGGACCTTCAAAGGGAGTCTGACAGACAGACAGACAGACAGACAGACAGACAGACAGACAGACAGACAGACAGACAGACAGACTGACTGACTGACTGACTGACTGACTGACTGACTGACTGACTGACTGACTGACTGACTGACTGACTGACTG